TTAGTAAAGGAAACGATCTTTTGTATTCTGTTTTCATCTAACTGAATGGAAGCGAATTGGAGAATCGTGTGCACATCTTACATGTTCTCGGTTCAAAGCAAAATATTTTGAATGTTTTCAACTGGTTGAAAATTGAGAAGCCACCAACCCAGCCCAATAATTACATAGTTCTAACATAAATATTTAAAAACACTTTCATCCAAATAAACGAAGATTACAAAGAAAATCTCTAGGCCACGGTGGGGGGGGGGGGGTTTTGGATTCCATGACACCCTCTCCCCCTGAATTCGCGACTGCAAATGTCACACGTGTACCTCGTTATATAGAATTTTCCACCATATGTTCATTAGCAATAATGATTTTTTACCCCTCTGCATATCTTAGAAGTCTGTAACATTTGTTTTGAGACATTCTCAAAGTGGTATTTCCCTAGATTGGATACCATCGATTGTAAAGAGAAGAAATACAGTACTGCAAAGAAACATTATTTACACGTCTTTCTAATTCTTTTCCAATTGAGCATGGGGTCCTGCAGGCCCTATCCTTTTGTTTTATTCGTAAACTATATGTCCTCGTCTATTAGAAACGGAGGGACAGTTCTGATGGCTGATAACGCAACTACTTTGCAAAAAAGAAACAATGAATGTACGATTTAAGATGTTTGGATTGGTTTAATAATACATTTACGAGAGAAAAACTGTTCCAATGCCGTTTTGCATTTTAAAGAAGCAATTTCATACACCATTGAAAAATAACACTATACAATTGTCAGATGACAAGGAAAACAAAATTTATGGATCTCTCAATTCTTCCAAATCTCAAACATTAACCCATACAAATACACTGAACACTAAATTATGTTCATTGTGTAACGCATTCAGAATTCTTTTAAATTCAGTCAGCTTTCATGCAGCTCGCTGCTTGAATTTTGCGGATGTTCGTTTCCACCTGACATACGTTATATTATGGGGAAACATCATATTCATTTTCATAATATGAAATTGCAGAAAGAAATTGTACGATTAATAAGTAAATATTATCCACATGAATCCTGATAATAATAATAATAATAATAATAATAATATAAATAATAATAATAATAATAATATAAATAATAATAATAATAATAATAATAATAATAATAATAATAATAATAATTATTATTATTATTATTATTATTATTATTATTATTATTATTATTATTATTATTGTTGTTGTTGTTGTTATTATTATTACGACCCTCTTGAAAAATACATATTTAACAGCACATCTTTTCTTGCCTAAAAATTCAATGATGTACAATTGCATTCCTAAACACCTCTGAAGATTAATAGGTTTTTGACGTGTTGTGCAACCACTCGGTACGTGAGACTCGGCCGTTGCGAGTCCAAACAATTCTTCTATGACCTCATTACCATCAAATAACATTTCTCCATGTTCTTTTGACTTGATATAGAAGAAAAGAAAATCCAAAATCTGTAGTTCTTTTGTAGATCGGAGCAAATATTAATTATCACATTTTGTAAAAATTGTCGAAAATAAATAAATAAAGAAAATTCTCGCCGAATACGGAAGTAATGCCTCATACAATGGGTCCCGGAGCTCGCAATCTTTGCATCCCCATTCCCTCTCGTTTACTTGGCCGGGGATAAAATGCAACATTCGTGGGTTTTGTAGATGGATAGTGCTGTCGAGTTTGAGGAGAAAAGATTAAACAATGTGGAGTGTAATCGTTCGGGTGGTTGCTGACGAGACTATCACTCAAAATGTATATATGCTGAAATCTCGGTCTCTCAGGGGCCATTTACTCGCGAATCATTGTGAGGGTGTATGCAGGAAAAGAAGGATACACAGATGTGACGAACCCGAATAAAGGGTGGAGTCTGGTACGATAAAAACGAACGTTATCACAGTGTTTTTTTTTATGATTTGGTTTTATTAAATTAAAAGAAAACGTATCTTGTGTAAACAAACTATTATTTAAGTAATTTAGTATAATACAAACTCTGCGCTTGAATTATTTATATCTGTCATAGTTTTAGCATTAAATCACTGAAAGTTTCAGCTCTTACACAATTACATGAAAAAGTTAATTATCTTTACCAGGTCGCAAAGTCACAATTCTAATAATAAAACTCAGGAATCTCAGGAGGTTTGACGTTAAAATAATAATATCAAGTACGGGGTACTGCAAATAAAATTGTACTGGCAAAACATTTTATCATAACCTTGCACTCGTTTGCCAAAATGTAATGTCATGAATCGTGGCAGGGAGGTTTGGCTCACTACGTAGCCATACAATTGGTGACAATTATAATGAACTCTTCCACTGACATGACAGCAGAGTTCGTAATAGTGTTTCTTTGAAATAGTTGTCACATACATAGAAATAAAAACCGTTAGGACTGACTACGACCGACACCGAAATCTTGCGCTTCACTGCTGTGATATCTGATCAGCCGAAATGGTTTTGCACAGACGTGTACATTTAATTTTTTATGAAATTTCATTCGCCTTTTTAGTAATCTCGTTCTTAATCATCAACAGGTTCGTGCTTCACTCAAAAGTTTCTTTTTGCTAATGCCACGCAGTTTCATTAAAAACAACAAAAAAAGGAACTCGGAAGCATGTTGTAAAACACTAACTGGAATATGCGTTGGTTTCATCGCAAATAGGAAATAGATTTAGGTAAGTTCTAGTTTATTGCGAGATAACTGCAACGGTATTCCTCCGCCGCGGCTCCGAATACTTCAGTTGACCTAGTAGTAAATCTTTTTTATCAAAGAGCAAGCATGGTTTCTTGGCAGTCTAATAATTGAAATAGCGGTGCTACAACAGCATATACTTTTCTCGCACAATTTGTAACGGTTACACAAATAAACCTGGTTTGAATCTCTTCATTAACCCGCGACAGTGTTTCCCACCAGCAATTCTAATTGACAGGGACAGACTTATTTCGGTTAATATTAGGTACTGTTGTTTTAATAAGAAAGTAATGATACAATTTGCCATTGTTGCCGAGTTCTTCAGGAGCATGTATGCAATCATTAACCAATCGTTGACTTGAATATGTGTCCATGTCAATTATTAGTTAATGACGTAATTAACCATAGAGGAAACAATAGCAAATCACGTTTTCACAATTCAGAAAACAGACCGTAGTAATATTATGACTGAATGCAAGTGGTTTCCGTCAAATAATTATTGCTTAAACAAAAAACTGCTAACAGCATAATTATTATATTTTCACTTCGAAATGTTGTACAACTAATCATATAGAAAGTCTCTGATTTTCTATATACATGTAAAGTTGGCTAAACTGGCCAGGTATCAATTGTCAATTGTGTTGGTCAGGTGACGTTCTTCTCGTTGGATACGAGACATACAAAGCCGACGGGGGACGGGAATATCGGTCGACGTCAATCAGGGCCCGGCAACTCTCCATCAAAATTGGGGACAAAGCTAGAGGTTGCTACTATAGGATGCGCTAGTGTCGCCGGATACAGCTGCTGGTAAGGCTCGTCAACTTTCCCACATAAAAATTGGTCAAGAAATACGAATACACTTTGATTGTGAGCGATTTCTGAAATAAATTACAAAAGAAGTTAAATACTTTGTGCTGATCTTCTAAAATTCATTTATTCATAATAATACACGCATGAAAGAAAAGGTAGCGCGAACAGCGGCGCGATCTTTTGTATCAAGCGCGTGTGTTTGCGTCCCGAGGAGCCATGCAAGTTTTTAATAACGTTGGTAGCAGTTCGTGTTTTAGTTCAATCGCCCTCTGCAGCTGAGAAAAGTAGTTGATTGTAGCCTACTTTCAGTCCATTTGATAGCTGTTCAAAGTTATAGTACGATTATTGACGTTTATCCCGAGTGTTCGAAAGGGACGCATAATTAAGACAGTTGTCAGTTAAATAACTTTTTCGGAATCATGAATTTGAGTGTACTAGTGTTAAATTGTAATACATGTAATATCACAAATTAATTGGAAGAAATTGGGAAGGTTGTGAAGTAGCCTACTTACAGGAAACAATTTTTCAGGTAGTATGCGAAGGTGGAGTCTAATAAATTTCAAAAGTACCATGTGAACATAAATATTTTGTGAAACATACTTGTGTACCAGTGAAGAATTTCCTGGACTATTAGTGGAATTTGATGATTTTAATAATTTTAAATGTTTTTGAATTCATATTCTCTTGGATAGTTAATAATATACTGTTTTTCTTTATAGAACTTGTTTGTACATCAATCAACAGTTGTCTCAAATTTCATGGCATCCCGTGAGTTGAACATGGAAGATGAAGCTAATCGTTTGAGTACATTTGGAAATCGGCCTAACCCTCATGTCCAGCCCAATGATCTCACAGCTTGTGGCTTTTTCTACTCCGATGTTTGTGATTTAGTAAAACGCTTTAAACGTGGTGTAGAAGTTGGCGGTTGGTGTCACGGTGATGACCCTTTAATAGAACACGAGAATTAGCAATCAGATTGCCCATTTATTCGAATTTATTTAATGGAAAATTTGCCACTTCCTGAGGATTAAGCTTATTACCATTATGTTTCTCATAGCTGCCCTTTTCACAACCAAATCCACAAAAACATTGCTCTTAGTAAGTATTGCTAAAGAGTTGATAATTTAATTTGTGTGATTTTTCACTCAATTATAGTAGATTTCTACACAAAGTTGCAGATAATTGAAAAATCACTTGAAAAGTTGAAAATATGAGACTGGACCTCCAGTTCATGTAATGTTTGCCTCACCTGAAAGTAGACTGCAGACATTTGGGACTTGCCCAATTGGGCTGAAGATAGAGGCAGGGAAACTATGCTAAGCTGGATTCTTCTACACTGGTAATTTCTTATATCCTTTGGTTGCGAACAGCTACGTAAGCAATGAGTTAGAGAGACATCTCCAGCTGACTGTACACAAAAGATAATGATTGTTAACGTGTTGAATATCGTGTATGAAGGCCCTTTACTTAAGTAAATTGACAGATTTTACATTTTAAAAGTGTATAAATTGCTGAAATACGATATTTTACCCCAGTATGATTTTTGTACATATCTTTATTTTAAGACTGAATTTTTTGTTCCGGTATACAAAAGATTTTTATGAAAATTTAGTCCGAAATATTTAGTTATTATATGTGAAAATAATAATTTACAAGGGACTATTAAAAAAAAAGAGGAGAATTACCTTGAGAGGAGAGCAGAGCAGAGCAGGGTTTCCTAAACTGATAAAAAGAAAAAGGGGAAATTTACAAAAAAATTTATTACGAGTAATTAAAATATACTTTCGATTTTAAATGCAATTTTTTATTAGAAAACTGTACCAAAGCATTTTGTAATGGGTATGTTATATAAATAATGTTGAACTACAAATAACTGTGATTTTTTTTTATTGTAAAAAAAATAATTACTATTAAATTCAATTTGATTATAAAAATTGTGTAAAATTGTGTATTTCAACACATTGTTATATTTAAGTTCCTTTTAATAGTACAGGGAACGTAGGTTAAGAAGAATATTCATCTCTTATAGCTGATTGGTAGTGTTTGTAAATGCTATAATTTGTTATAACAAAATGTGGAAATATTTGTAAAATTCTAAATTTTGTAAAACTTTTTTTTTATGGTCTATTTATTATTACCTGCAAGATTAATACATTTTTATGTAGATTATGGTTTGTTGGTCAGGTAAATAGAAAATTATGTTAAGTTTTTGGAATGTGTTATTACTTCATTTGGGTTATGAGTACAGAATGCCAGATTTTACAATTGAATATAACCACATTGTTATGAGATAGATAATTTTCAAAACAAAAACTTTGATATTTTATGTTAATTATGTAGAAATGAGGATATAAAACTAGTCCAAATATAACTCATTGCATTTATAAATAGCCTTTAAATTTCAAATACAATTGTGTGCTTTTGAAAATATCTCAGTTCGTTCAGATTTTCCTTAATAAATTAATTTCCCAGCACATGCCTGTGCCGCAAACTTTATTTCAGAACCAGTGAATTCATTGTTAAATATTTTATGGTCGGAGAAACATGTACAATAACCAAACAGACATTTGCATTTAAAATTCATATAATTTTCATTATAGTTCCTTTTGTAGAAATGTACTATAGAACGAAGAAAGTTTATTTTTTCTTGGGTAAACCTTGGAAAGTTAATTTACTTTGCATTTTTATCCTGTTGTAGGAAATGATGATACAACATTGTGCTTCCATTGTGGAAAAGATGTATGTGAATGGACATCAAATGACGATCCTTGGGTTGAGCATGCCCTATTTTCACCTAAGTGCTCATATGTTCTTCTTAACAAAGGCATAGGTTTTGTAGATAATGTATTTAAAATGAGAGGAAGTCCAAAGTCTAAAAAAGTATGTTTTTAATTTCACTTTTTTTTATATTTTCAATTCAAATTAACTATAAATTTTGCATTTTGGTTAATTGGGAAAGGTTATGATTATTATTTTGGAGTAATGTGTGAAATTCAATTTTTCAGGACTTGAAACTATTGCAACTTCCTGAAAGACTAAAAGGGATGATTGATATCAGAGATCATGCTGACCTACATTCAAGGTTTGTAGAGAGATTCTTCCAGCAATGTTTATTGGTACTATTGCTTTCCTCCATAAGTATCATTTTATTTATCATCATCATCATCATCATCACTGAAGATTATTTTTGTCTATAAGAATTTCAAAAAGGAAAACAAAACAAAGTGAATGTGATTTTATGGGCCGAATTCATAGTCGTCACTTACAGGATAAGCGAACCCTTAAGTGATAAGTGCTTTCTCAAAATAAGTGTTCACTTATAGGGGCTTGTATTTCATAGACGTTCCTTATGACCGCGGAATGAGTGTTCCCTTAAGCGGAAAGGAAATGTGGCAACATGGCATAGACGGCAGTTGTTT